AAGGGGGGAACTTCAGTTTACTCCCTCGTGGTTTGCCTGCACAACACTCCCTATCGTCAGTCAACCCCTTAGGGCAAACCACAAGGGGGGTGATGTGCTCTAAGGTATGCTTCAATGGCAAATGGCTACACACAGCAACAATGTTTACTCTATTCCAAAGCAAATGACTACAAAAAAACAACAGAAATATTCTCTGCGAAGTAAACATTACGAGAAAACAGCTGATTAGACATCCGTTCATGGAAGCAACCAAATATCTCAAGTAACAAAAGTTTAACCTTTCGTAAACTCCAAATTTCAATGGAGTAAAATAAAATGCAATGAGAAATTATTCACCCTTCTATTAAAGAATTCATCAATGCTAGTGGATTACTTATTATCTTGGCAAAACATCTTTAACTTGCTAAAAATACTAATATAGAATCATTTTCAGAATATACGATTAAAGAAGGAAAGAAGAGGTAAGTCTGGATCTCAAACAGATGAACACCATTCAATCCCTTGGCAAAATCTTGAACATAACATATCTCGTCATCAAGAGAATTTTAAACCCTGTAATCATGAATTAATGATCCCCCCCCCCCCCCGGGGGGGCCCTTTCTCTCTCTCTCTCTCTCTGTGGATCAAGCTAATACAGGTTCATGACTGCCAACGGTGAATTTTAAACATCTTAAGGTTAAGAAGTTCACTACAGCACTGAGATCATTACTGAAAATGGTCCCTTCAATATAATTTCATCTTTTAATTTACCATCCAAAGTTAATAACAGAGTCCCTATATTATCTTATATTTGTATTTGACAATGCTGATCTCCATTCTCCATGCTCTTCCTTTCTCTCATCATCTGACAGATCATCTACTTAGTTTGTTAAAAAAAAATTGACACGCTTAAAACAACTGATGCTCTGTAGATCACAATGAATTAGGACTCACTCCTCTTGGGGGTAAGTGATTTGATTTGCTCTTTGTTTAGAGTTGACAATCTAACATGCAACTCTCATTCTATTGCTAGCCTCCAAAGTAACTCTCCTATAACAGTCAAACATTAAGATAGCTTTTGTTTTTCGCCATAACCAAGTTCCACACATACAATATTACACCACACATTAAATCAACCGTAAGATATTGGATTAAAGAACACCAACTCTAAATTATAACTAATAACTTATCAAAAACTCGCGAAAGCCAGTAAATCATTTTTGGCAATGTCAATCTGAAGCGCATTTTACTACACAAACATTTACAACCATGACATAACCATTGAACAGTAGAGAAATTAACCACACACTATAAACTGCATCTTAGACCTCGCAACAAATCAAGTTAGCTTCTAGACCATCATTGCATTATGAAACAAACATATCAGAACCAAATGATAAATTGCGTACTGTCTTGAATCCTTTAGCTTAATACAAATGTTTGGAGACAAAACAAAACCTGCATGGATGCAAATTCTCCAGAGAGTATAAACTATAACCCAATACACTTGTTACAATAACATTACTGCAACATAAGGCCTTCTCGAAAATAGTCAGAGGACCAAAATTAAAAGCAAAAATATCTCCATGCACAGCTGAAGACAGGCATTATGGAGTTACATCATCCCTATTTCTCTCTCATTTCTTCCCTAACCATTTGCAACTCATGTTCCTACAGTTATTACTTATTAGCATTGTATATCGCTATATTAGCAAAAGTTATTAGCATTCTATATCGCTAAATCACTACTATTTACCATGAAACTGCACTAATCGATCAAAAACGCATCATTTAGGGCAACCATATAGAGACAAACACATAAAAGCATTGAAACAAAACCATTTCATTTCAAGACTAGTAAGTTGTAAGAAGTACCCTGCATTGCTCAAACCTCACATTCTGTCTTCCATTGCCATTGTGCTGTGAGTTACTTCACTCTCATTAGCCCCCCCAGTCTAGTCAGACTCACTCACGAAAATCCTTTACCTAGCTTCTGAATCGAAGAAAACATTTTCCTCCTAGAACCAACTGCATTAATCCCCATATCTTTCAAATCCTCCAATGTCAACATTGGCAAAACCTCATCATCCACCTCATGTATCTCAAAAACCGGGGCGTACCGTCCCAAACCCAACTGATTTAACCAAACCCTCACCCCATTTCTCTCTGGATGATTCCAATTTCTCGCATCTGTATCACTTGGCCCATCCAGTTCAACCCCATCATGACAATCCCTCCCTTCCATAGAAACTCTAGCAACTCCAACATCAACCTTTCTATGGAAATTCCCTCTATTCATATCATCCAAAGAATGAATTGGACTTTGGACCTCTTTCAAAGGACTCTCCGAAGCCTCGGGTTCGAAATCCCTATACCCATCATCCACATCTTCACCACCACTCAATTTCTCATTCTCTTCATTACCACCTCCACTGAACTTGTCGTTATCATCGATTTTCGATACCCAATTGGACCTCACTCTCTTGGTTGCACTCCTCTTCGATATCGAATCCCTAACTTTCCAGCTCCCAATTGCGTCGCTGTCTAAATTTCCAGCTTCCTGGTCATCCCCATCTAGGGTTTCATGATAGTCCCCGGAGCTGGTTAAATTCATGAGAGGTCTAGTCTTCGAGGCTTTGCTCGTATCTTTGGTAGAGAGCCTCCATTGCTTTGTTCTTCGATTTGGCTGAGTTTCGTAGAGCTGGTCTCCGATATCACCTAATCGGACGCTCGGCCTTCGCTGCCGTTTGGCTCCGACGTTTTCGGTGGAAAGTAACGCCGGTTCTCCACCGTTTAACTGTCCCTCCGGTGGCTGTAACTCCGCCATTATCAATGGTAGACTGACAAAGTGACAATCCGAAACTTCCTCTCTGTAAAGTTTAGAGAGAGAGAGAGAAAGAGAAGTGAAACGAGAGTGATGGGATTTAATGAAGTGAAGAAATCGAAGAGGAGAGAGAGAGAGAGAGAGGGGGGCACGTGTGGGAGAGCAGAGTGACGACGGAAAAATTCGGGAAACAGAGAGGTAATGTCCAGAAGTCTTTCGGTAAATTTCACTGATCCCCCTCGAGATTGACTTAATTGCAGTAACACCCTCTATGATTTCTAAAACACACTCTTGTGGGTTATTACGAGTTTCACATAGTGCTCCTACAATCATTGGTGTTACTAACATTAAACAGAATTAGTGATTTCATGAAATATATTACAGTAAATCATCAATTTTACCCTCAAGTTGACTCTTCAATTTTATTAATCAATTGACATTTAATTTTATTAATTTAAATATTACTTTCATCACACTAACGCTAATTTTATCAATTTAACACTAAATTAATATTTAATTTAAAATATAGTTTCATCAAATTGAGATTTAATTTAAATATTAATTTCACCACACCAACACTAATTTCATCAAAAACAAGAGGGGTTAAAGGGTAAATACTAGGGTTGAAGTCTTGAAGTGTAATTCAATAAAATTGCATCTCTGTTTAGCCTGTTAATGTGAAATAATAAGGGGTGTTCTTACAACTAGGCCAATTTCAAGTGGTATCAATGGAATTTATCATTTTTTAGATTTAGGAATTTTTATTTTATATATTTAAATACATATATTTAATGTATTAGAAACGTTGTAATGTGACCTTTTTATTATTTTTGTTCATCAATGTCAATAGAAGGTTTTTGACGAAAAAAATAATANAAAAATTGCATCTCTGTTTAGCCTGTTAATAGGACGTAATCTAGAAATAATAAGGGGTGTTCTTACAACTAGGCCAATTTCAAGTGGTATCAATGAAATTTATCATTTTTTAGATTTAGGAATTTTTATTTTTTATTATTTTTGTTCATCAATGTCAATAGAAGGTTTTTGACGAAAAAAATAATAAAAGTTAGCAAAAGGATCACCGTTATAACATTTTTAAGATATGGAGAGTACAACCGGTATGAGAATAATATATTAAAGGTGCAATGTAAAAATTTTTATCTTTGAGGATGTTAAATGAGAATTCTTAAATTTTTTAAGGTACAAAATGAAATTGGGCCATGCTGCCTAAAAATAAATTTAATATAGCTGCAAATAATTTTTGTGGANTAAGATATGGAGAGTACAACCGGTATGAGAATAATATATTAAAGGTGCAATGTGAAAATTTTTATCTTTGAGAATGTTAAATGAGAATTCTTAAATCTTTTAAGGTACAAAATGCAATTGGGCCATGCTGCCTAAAAATAAATTTAATATAGCTGCAAATAATTTTTGTGGATTGACGACTACAAGTTTTTGAAGTACCGCGTTTAGAGTTCTTTCTAGGGTTCCATATGGTTAATTAGTATGGTTCCATTTACAGGATTCCTTTCCTGCTATTCTCATCGGTTGCTCTATAACACAAGATTAGGCTATAGCTCAAGTTGACATTTGGAAGCGATTACGGTTTTTTCGTCGTCTATGTATGTTCCATTGATATGCTGCCCTCATGGGTTCAGACTGTCCATCCAGACAGAGGTTTTTTGTTTCAAAAAAATATACAAGTTTTTGAAATCATTTATAAGTTAACCTTCAAAAATTATAATTAGAACTCTAAAATTTATAATATGATTAAAATTTTATCATAAACAAACTCAAAAATTTATATCTCAATTTACAAATTTTGTGAAATTTAGAGGTACATTACCGTCATTTTTTTCAATAATTTAATTCTCCCCCTTTTTTTGTACTTTTTCTCTTATATTAACGCCTTTGACCAACCTTGTCACAAACACCGAAAAGTCTCGTCGCCGTTACACTAGAAAATAAACCAATTCGGGAATAAGTCACTAATAAACTTGCGACTTGTCGTTTAAGGTTGAATTTATCAAATAGAAAAAATATATTTTGACCTTTTTAATTATGAGATTATTTTACGTTGTTTTTTTTTAACTATTATGTCTTTTATATAAATTTATATAATATTTTTTAATAAAAAATATGAATTATGTGTAATTAAAATAAATAATAAATTAAGTGTTGAATAATTAATTTATATTTTAATTATTAATATATCCTATAGGCCTTTGAATACATAATCTGTCATTTATTTATGTAACTCTTCGATTTTTTTAGGTATTTGCACATCTAATTATATTATAGAATTATTAATTTTTATTTTTTAAATAGATTAATTAAATTGCTTATCATATTATTGCNCTGAATAATTCATTTATATTTTAATTATTAATATATCCTATAGATCTTTGAATACATAATCTATCATTTATTTATGTAACTCTTCGATTTTTTTAGGTATTTGCATATCTAATTATATTATAGAATTATTAATTTTTATTTTTTAAATAGATTAATTAAATTGCTTATCATATTATTGCATACAAAAAAATAAAATATAATAATTTAACATATAAAAGATTTTACTTCAACATATATATATAAAAAATTATATGTAATTGTACTGAGTTCTAAAAATTTAAGAGTCCTTATAAAAGAGTCCAAAATAAATTGAAAGCCAAAAATAGGAGTAAAAAAATAAAAATTAGATAAAAATATATAAGTGGGTACAATTGAATTTATTATTATAATTAAGGATAAAATCAAAAATCAAAAATAAAAAATTTTCAAAGATTCTGACATTTATAAGTAATAATATAGATACATTACATGAAAGGGGAGGGGAGGGGAGGNATATAAGTGGGTACAACTGAATTTATTATTATAATTAAGGATAAAATAAAAAATCAAAAATAAAAAATTTTCAAAGATTCTGACATTTATAAGTAATAATATAGATACATTACATGAAAGGGGAGGGGAGGGGAGGGGATTCGTATCATATTTTTACTTACACATTTAATTATGATTATTAGTTTCATCTGTTCAAAATTTAACCAAAAATTGTCACACTCTGCCCCGTAACTATTTTGATTTTTATTTCACTTTATCTCAGCGCATAGATAATTTTTGCCCAAAAAATAACAAGCATTTCTGTTTTGGTTAATTTATTTTATAATTGAAGAAATAAAATGAAATTGAAGTCACAATTAAAAATGTCAAAGTGTAACTTGTCATTAGGAAATTTGAAGGTAATTATTACGATTGAATTATTACGAGTGGATGATACGACCAAATTCAATATTCTGATTGCATTGTTATCGTGCTAATTGATCTACATCAAAATTTTAATGTATAGCATAACAAAATTCAAATTTGCGATTGTGTTATTATTATTGCGCTATTGATTTAGATCAAAATTCATTCATTAGGTTCCGTTTAGTAACGATTCTGTTTTTTATTTTTCGTTTGATTATTTTAATTTTTAGAGTAAACAAGAAAAAAAAACTCGTTAGATGACCGATTTTTTTTTTCTACTACCGTTGTTTTGTAAATGAGGGGTAATTTTCAAAAACGGAAAAAAACTGTTTTCAAAAAAAAAAAAAAAGTTTAACGCGTGTTTGTCTTTAATGAAGTCAAGGGTTCGAACCTTATTAGCACAAAAAAGACACATTTATTGAACACTCGTGTAAATAGCAATACCCAAACCCTCAATCTCTCCCTCTCTCTCTCGCTCGTCTCTTGGTCAAAGTAGAAGCTTTCATCTACGATCACTGCCGATCCTCTCATTTTCAGATCAGATGCTTCAGCTCCCAAAATCACCAACTTTTAACACCAAGTAATCAATTTATCTGACTGTAATGAAGTTTTGAATGAGATTGTGGCGTGTAGTTGGGTGGCTAATCGGTAAGAGAGAAAGTGAGAGTGCCGAAAATGAGCACTAACAGATAACGATAAGGATGCCATGCCATGGCTAATGGCGTCCTCCGTTCTATTTATTTATTTATTTATATGGTTATAGATCTGATCTAGAATATGGTTATAGGCTTGATCAAATCAGGGTTCTTGTTGCTGAATCTTTTTTTTCGCTCTCTAGTTGCTGATCTGCGCCTAACGTGATCTGCAATTTTTTTTTTTTATATAAAGCTTGAAATTTTTTTCAGATTACCATTTACTGGTGTTAGATCCCTCTTCCTATTTATAGTTGCTGATTGCTTTCTAGAAAGCTTGAAATTTTTCTTCTTTTGTGCTGTATTGCAGGAGATTAAGGCTAATCCTTTTTTTCTACATTGTTGTTATACATTCTATTTCTTAGATTCCTTCCAAGAGGTTATTACCGTATAAGATTACTAGAAAACCAGAAAAGAAATAAAGAAAAGCATTACCTTCCATAAAACAAGGCAACATGAGTAAGCGTAGATGCAATTGTGGCAAATCCGAATCCATACGTGAGAGCAAAGAACATGCTCAGGAGGATTCTTCCTTGAATATCATGCTGTTCTTGATTCAGCTTGAACTTATTATTGACAATATTTGTAATGTTATATTCCCTACCTTGTGCAGTCCGCCGAAAATATTGGAAATGTTTTGGCATTGTACACATTAAACCCCCAGTAAGAGATAGGAGAATCCCCCAAAATAATCTCAAAACCAATAATAGTAAGCTGTAACTGAGACCTCAGCAGAAACACCCTCCAAAGTTGCTGATTTTTTTTACTCTCTGTGAATCAGTTATGGATTATTGTTCTAACTTTTTAATAGCATGGAATTGTGTTAATGTATACAAGCTAGTCGTCTGTTTATGAAAGGATTGGAGTTGAGGTATGTAATGAGCTCGATAATGGTAGCTTCTCTGAATTGTTTTACTGCACTGGTTTTGCTCTGCTTTGCATTGGACTGCATTTTTATGTAGTACTGCACTGATCTATTTCTGAGCATGGAGTTGGGGAATATAAGTGGCAAAGTGTCTGGACAGGGGCTGGGATGGTTTTTCAGGATAGATGTTGGAGTGCTGATGGTTTATGGTTGGCGTGGATTTTCTGCTTGGTTGATATGGCCTTGCTGGCATGGTGGCAGATTGTTGCTGTTCCAGTGCAGAGGAAAAGCAGTTGAGCTGTGGGTCTTACCACAGTACGAGAAGCTCCTTCAACAGATTGAGGAGGTGTAGGTCCAGTTTTTTGTGCTGTTTGCAGGCAATCAGTGATCTGCATTTGGTCATGGGCTGTTTTCTGCATTTATGACTGGGCAAATTTAGTCATTAGGTTTGCACTGGACTGTACTGATGTCTGCTTTGCATTGACTGCATTTTCTGCAGGTCTGCACTGATTTGGAGCATTGAGATGGGGTATGCAGGCAGAAGTTTCCATGCTTTAGAGGATTTCCAAAATGTAATTAAAAATAGTTTAATTCATCTCGAAGGATTAAAGCCATTTTTTGCATATTTTTAGAACAATTTGTTCTTTAATTCTTTTAATTCATTCTTTTTGAAAATAAGATTTTTTCTTTAAATATATATATATACACACACAAGCAAGTCAAAAAAATAAAAATGTAAGTGTTACAACCAAACGAGGTTTTTGTTTTTGTTTTGAAATTTCTTTACAACTATACATAAAAGCAACCAAACACGTTTTCTGTTTTTTATTTTTTGCTAACTAAAATCTAAAATTGATATTGTTCTTCATTTTTTAAAAAATCAAAATTATAAACGTTTCCAAACAAGCCCTAAATTTTTAACTCAAATTTCCATTTTAGAATCCAACGACAATCCAACAATATAAGTACATTAAACTCCCAAATTAAGTCCATATACCATTACTCAAAAAATTAGCATGACAACAATCAACTCCTCACAATCATAAATATACTCGAGAAAATTGGCCTAATAAATATAATCAATGTATCTAACTACAGGATCCCTGTCATTTTACTACCAATGCCATAGAAACATACCTTGCCCANTATTCCCTACCTTGTGCAGTCCGCCGAAAATATTGGAAATGTTTTGGCATTGTACACATTAAACCCCCAGTAAGAGATAGGAGAATCCCCCAAAATAATCTCAAAACCAATAATAGTAAGCTGTAACTGAGACCTCAGCAGAAACACCCTCCAAAGTTGCTGATTTTTTTTACTCTCTGTGAATCAGTTATGGATTATTGTTCTAACTTTTTAATAGCATGGAATTGTGTTAATGTATACAAGCTAGTCGTCTGTTTATGAAAGGATTGGAGTTGAGGTATGTAGGGAGCTCGATAATGGTAGCTTCTCTGAATTGTTTTACTGCACTGGTTTTGCTCTGCTTTGCATTGGACTGCATTTTTATGTAGTACTGCACTGATCTATTTCTGAGCATGGAGTTGGGGAATATAAGTGGCAAAGTGTCTGGACAGGGGCTGGGATGGTTTTTCAGGATAGATGTTGGAGTGCTGATGGTTTATGGTTGGCGTGGATTTTCTGCTTGGTTGATATGGCCTTGCTGGCATGGTGGCAGATTGTTGCTGTTCCAGTGCAGAGGAAAAGCAGTTGAGCTGTGGGTCTTACCACAGTACGAGAAGCTCCTTCAACAGATTGAGGAGGTGTAGGTCCAGTTTTTTGTGCTGTTTGCAGGCAATCAGTGATCTGCATTTGGTCATGGGCTGTTTTCTGCATTTATGACTGGGCAAATTTAGTCATTAGGTTTGCACTGGACTGTACTGATGTCTGCTTTGCATTGACTGCATTTTCTGCAGGTCTGCACTGATTTGGAGCATTGAGATGGGGTATGCAGGCAGAAGTTTCCATGCTTTAGAGGATTTCCAAAATGTAATTAAAAATAGTTTAATTCATCTCGAAGGATTAAAGCCATTTTTTGCATATTTTTAGAACAATTTGTTCTTTAATTCTTTTAATTCATTCTTTTTGAAAATAAGATTTTTTCTTTAAATATATATATATACACACACAAGCAAGTCAAAAAAATAAAAATGTAAGTGTTACAACCAAACGAGGTTTTTGTTTTTGTTTTGAAATTTCTTTACAACTATACATAAAAGCAACCAAACACGTTTTCTGTTTTTTATTTTTTGCTAACTAAAATCTAAAATTGATATTGTTCTTCATTTTTTAAAAAATCAAAATTATAAACGTTTCCAAACAAGCCCTAAATTTTTAACTCAAATTTCCATTTTAGAATCCAACGACAATCCAACAATATAAGTACATTAAACTCCCAAATTAAGTCCATATACCATTACTCAAAAAATTAGCATGACAACAATCAACTCCTCACAATCATAAATATACTCGAGAAAATTGGCCTAATAAATATAATCAATGTATCTAACTACAGGATCCCTGTCATTTTACTACCAATGCCATAGAAACATACCNCTCGAGAAAATTGGCCTAATAAATATAATCAATGTATCTAACTACAGGATCCCTGTCATTTTACTACCAATGCCATAGAAACATACCTTGCCCAGGTCAACCGAGTGACATAATTAATGTGAATTGTTGGTTTAATGGAATCCCAATAGCTTCCGTTACACATCTAATGACTGATTGTACCCTGTACCAATTGATAAATAGTTCATGCTGATTATTTCTATCCACGATTTTAACTACTTGTGCAAAATACACTCANTGTACCAATTGATAAATAGTTCATGCTGATTATTTCTATCCACGATTTTAACTACTTGTGCAAAATACACTCATTTACATAATTGATGGTGCAATATGCTACAGTCAATAGATTATGGGACAAAGTGAAGTTAGAATCATAGTTTAGGAGGCAAAATAAAATTAACCCTTTTAAAAATAAAGATTGATGGTACAAGAAACTCCTCTACATTATCCTCACATGACTGCACACTAAAATACAGGATCGGCAGAAAAAAAATGAAAGTTTAGACCGGATCCAGTTCTTTTCTAATACAATCTTACACAATTTCATTCATCAGTGGATCACCCACCGTGTATGAAATTTATCAGTGGATCCTACTTGAATTTGAACGAAATTAACCGAAACTATATTGAAAGTGGTCTGAGTGCTTTTAAACCAACAACACCCTAGGACAAAAAGGGTGAATTAGTCTGGTATCAAACACCAACTGCTCACCTCTGTAACAGCAACAAAAGAATCTTAAGGGATTTAGTCAAAATCTCTGGAGTGAGACATCACAACCATGTACTAAAATTGGAGCCGTTTCTTTTCTGATCCAATCTTATATACTCCTTCGATGCAGAAAACTATTTCCAAAGTAAATCGGAGGGGGGGAACTTACAGCTCAGAGAAAAAAAATTTCACGATATCCAGGCTGGTTATTGATGCTTTGAGAAATCTGCTACCTGTTCTTTTTCCTTTCCCAACCATTTGCAGGTATTTGGTATATTGTGACCCAAGAAATTAGCTACGACAAGGTCAATCGGTCGGAACTGTGCAGAGGATACCATTCCCAAGATTATGCTCCAAAGGATACATGGTTGTGCCTTTGACATATTTTTGATGCTCGACTGCAGCCTTTCGAAGGCCTGACAATCCCTTAAGCTTTCCTTTCAGTTGTTTCTTGATGACGGAACATGCACCTAATGGATCCCAGGATCCGGCTCCGAACCTCCTATAAACACAAGGAACAGAGCTAAAGACATGTTTTACCACACATGCTTGAATGAAAGGCATTAATTCTGTTTCCTATAGTTACTAACCCGTTCACTTGATATTGAAGAAGTAAATGAGCTTGGTCTAAAACTATCTAACCCAAACTATATTGCTAGGAAAAATCTCCTATCATCTTTGAAACCACTCCCCTCAACAAGGGTGGTTGGGGATCAGAGAATAAATAATAAGCACACAAGCAGTAAACTTCACATATAACACTTCATGCAGCCAGCCAAAGCACCAATTGCCCAGAATTGTTTGTTCGTGGACAAAAGAAATGGAAAGAAAAAAAAATGGCTCTTTAGCTTGGAACCCAAAATCAGCAGATTTTCTTTGTTTTGAAACAAAGCCCAAGTCCCAAGGTGGCAAGACCTACTTTAAAGAACATCCCAGGACCCAGGTGAGTTATTTCCGGCATAGTCTGGGATATCTCGTTAAAAACATAAGGGGCGTGTTTGGTTAGATTCTGCAAAACAGTTTTTTGTTCTCAAAATTTCAAAAACACCAAAAACTTGTTTGTTTAGTATTTTTGTTCTCTAAATTTTGGAAAAAAATAAAATTTGAGTCAAAGAAACAGAAANAGGGATATCTCGTTAAAAACATAAGGGGCGTGTTTGGTTAGATTCTGCAAAGCAGTTTTTTGTTCTCAAAATTTCAAAAACACCAAAAACTTGTTTGTTTAGTATTTTTGTTCTCTAAATTTTGGAAAAAAATAAAATTTGAGTCAAAGAAACAGAAAACAAGTGTAACTTGTTTTTAGAGTTTTCTTTGAAAATTTTGGAAACAATGAGAACAATTTTTGATGTTCAGATATTGGTATATATATATAAAGTTTGGATGTTCATATATATATATATATATATATATATATATATATAAATGATAAAAAGAACTAAAAATCAATTACCTTAACAACTTNTGTTTTTAGAGTTTTCTTTGAAAATTTTGGAAACAATGAGAACAATTTTGGATGTTCAGATATGGGTATATATATATATATATATATATATATATATAAAGTTTGGATGTTCATATATATATATATATAAATGATAAAAAGAACTAAAAATCAATTACCTTAACAACTTCTCTGATGCAATTCTGGCAGCAGCAACCGTACTGCCGCTAGGTACCCACTTTATGACACGGTTTGGATCAGCCCGCATTGGAGAGTGGATTTTAATAAGCTTAAAATAAGAGAATCAATACCATGTTAATATGTTACAATAAAAATCCAAGGCCTCAAATTGGAGAGTGGAAATGGTTTTTTTATCCTTTTCCTTTTTCTTAATCCTTCCTTTTCCTACTATGATAGAATGGAAGTGTCTTGTACTTGTTACATAAGAGAAAAAAACACTAATTACATGTGTTAAGAATAATAGGGTAGTATGTGTAAATTGTTAATAGTAAGAGGGTGTATGTNTAAGAGAAAAAAACACTAATTACATGTGTTAAGAATAATAGGGTAGTATGTGTAAATTGTTAATAGTAAGAGAGTGTATGTGTAATTCGTATTACTGTAGGTTAACTATAAATACAAGTGATGTATGAGAGCTAGCTTAAGTTTTAACCTCTCTCTGTTTCTCTCTAATATTGTGTTAATCTTCCACAATTAACATGATATCAGAGCAAGTACGATCATAAATATATATACTGACTAAATTAATTTTGTTCGTCGTGGTGGTACTGTTGTTTGTTTGTCGAAACCATCGTGGTGGTGGTGGTACTGTATTGTTTGCTGTTGTTCGGCGGCTGTGGTCGTGGTGGTGTGGCTGTGGTTGCTGTTGTGGTGGTCCATCGTTGGTGGTGAGGCGTGGTCTGTGGTGGTTGTTGTGATTGCTGTTGTGGTGGCTACTGTGGTCGATTCGTGGTTTGAGTGGTCTATGGTGGCTGTGTGGTGGTTCGTCGTCGACATGATCTGTGGTGGCTATTGTGGTTGATTCATGGTTGTGGTGGTTTGTATTGTCAATGGTGAGGTGCAGTGGTGAGGCGCAGGTGGGTTTTCTGAAACCCTAACCAGCGAAGAAGAAATAGCTCGACCCGAATTCACTTCGGGTCAACCCAAATCTGACCCAACACATCGGTTCAGACTAATTCCAAATCGGTTCAGTGCTCCATCAAGCAAAATCGGCCCGGTTCAGTGCTCCATCAAGCTAAACCGGCCCTGTTCAGTGCTCCAACAAGCAAAACCGACCCGGTTCAGTGCTCCAACAAGCCAAACCGGCCCTGTTCAGTGCTCTAGAGGGCTAAACCGAACCGGTTCAGTGTTCTAACAACCTTTTCTAGCCCGGTTCAGTGGTCCAGGTATCTTTTCCAGCCCGGTTCAATCTTCTAGCAGTTTTTTTTTCTCTACTTTAACATTGTAACACTTCTTGTTTACTATTTGCTGCATTATTATGGAACCCAAACAAGATACCAAGTCCCTTACTCCATCTTTGTCTTCTCCGACCCTTATCAATAGTCCTGTGACCTCTGTCAAACTTAATGGGACTAATTACACTTTGTGATCCCGATCTGTTCAAATTTTTCTTCGAGGCAAAGGATTTAAGAAATATCTGGTGGGTTCTAAACCCAAGAAAGACACTCCTGGGTATGATCAGTGGGAACAAGAGGATGCTCAAATTATTTCTTTATTGTTGAATAGCATAGAGCCCAGTATTAGCTCTTCTCTGCTCTATCTTGATACTACCAAAGAGATATGAGATCACTTGGCCACGATGTATTATGGTATAGGTAATTTTACTAGTGCGTATGAGGTGTAAGGAGTACTTCCAGTTGGAGCAGGGTACTCTGAGTCTTGCGAATTATTACTCTCATGTTCGAGGAGTCTATGAGGAGATGAATACTTATCGTCTGTTTACTACTGATGCAATAGTTTGGCAAAAGCAACATGAGAACCTGAATATTGTTAGATTTTTGGCAGGATTGAAACCTGAATATGAGACTATTCGTTCTCAGATTTTGGGTGGATCTAATCTTCCATCATTGTTGGAGATTTTTTCTCATTTACAGCGTGCTACACTGTCTACTCCTTCAGTTATTGATCATGGTGTCTCCACTAATGGCTCAGCTCTTGTAGTTCCTAATAGCCATAGTGATGGTCATCGAGGTGGACGTGGTGGACGTAGTGGTCGTGGTGGTCGCAGAGGTCGTACAGGTAGGCGTGGGGGTCGTAGTGGATCTTGTTCTTGTACTCACTGTGGCCGTGGAGGACACACTGTTGATTTCTGTTGGGATTTACATGGAAAACCTTCTAGTACTGCTAATCAGGTTTCTTATCAGGATGATACTTCTGTTGTTGCTTCCATACCTCGATCAGCTCCACTAGACACTGGGTCAATTATTATTACACTGGGTCGAGAGGAGTATGCTCAGTTCCTATCCCAGCAACAAGCTGTTCCATCTCCCTCCAATGCTATTTTTGCCCGGTCAGGTNCAGGATTGAAACCTGAATATGAGACTATTCGTTCTCAGATTTTGGGTGGATCTAATCTTCCATCATTGTTGGAGATTTTTTCTCGTTTACAGCGTGCTACACTGTCTACTCCTTCAGTTATTGATCATGGTGTCTCCACTGATCGCTCAGCTCTTGTAGTTCCTAATAGCTATAGTGATGGTCATCAAGGTGGACGTGGTGGACGTAGTGGTCGTGGTGGTCGCAGAGGTCGTACAGGTAGTCGTAGGGGTCGTAATGGATCCTGTTCTTGTACTCACTGTGGCCGTGGAGGACACACTGTTGATTTCTGTTGGGATTTACATGGAAAACCTTCTAGTACTGCTAATCAGGTTTCTTATCAGGATGATACTTCTGTTGTTGCTTCCATACCTCGATCAGCTCCACTAGACACTGGGTCAATTATTATTACACTGGGTCGAGAGGAGTATGCTCAGTTCCTATCCCAGCAACAAGCTGTTCCATCTCCCTCCAATGCTATTTTTGCCCGGTCAGGTGCTGCTTCCACCTGTTTATTGTCCTCTACTCGCAGTCCTTGGATCATCGACTCTGGCGCCTCTGACNTATGGAAAACCTTCTAGTACTGCTAATCAGGTTTCTTATCAGGATGGTACTGCTGTTGTTGCTTCCATACCTCGATCAGCTCCACCAGACACTGGGTCAATTATTATTACACTGGGTCAAGAGGAGTATGCTCAGTTCCTATCCCAGCAACAAGCTGTTCCATCTCCCTCCAATGCTACTTTTGCCCGGTCAGGTGCTGCTTTCACCTGTTTATTGTCCTCTACTCGCAGTCCTTGGATCATCGACTCTGACGCCTCTGACCATATGACTGGTGCGTCTGACGTTTTGAGGAGACTTTTTCTCCAATTGCCAAAATTTCTTCTGTTCGTATCTTGATTTCTCTNCTTTGTTCCTCAGTTCCCTTTTAGTTTACTTTCCATTAGCAAGATTACTCGTTCTCTCAATTGTTCTGTAACCTTTTACCCTTCTTATTGTGTATTTCAGGATCTCAAGACGAAGAGGAAGATTGGTACGGGGCATAAAGCTGGTGGCCTATATTACCTTGACTTTGATTCACCTACCCAAGCTCTACAGACCTCGTTGTCTCATTTTCAATGGCATTATCGTCTTGGACATACCTCTCTCCAGAATTTGAAGCGCCAAGTTCTTAGTGTTAGTTATGTATCGTCTTTGTCTTGCAAAACTTGTCAACTTAGTAAGCATCACCGTGTGTCATTTCAGTCTAGAATCAATAATCGNTGGAAATCATTCTGAGGAGATTGCCAAGTTAAAAATATTCTTACAGGATCGATTTTATACTAAAGATTTGGAAAAACTCAGGTATTTTTTGGGTATTGAGGTGGCTNCTGATGCATGAGGTCCAATAAAGAATATTTCATCTAATAAATATCTTTATTTTGTGACATTTGTGGATGATTATTCTCGTGTGACTTGATTATTTTTGATAAAAACTCGGTCTGAATTATTCTCTATATTTGAGACTTTTCGTAAGAAAATAAAAATTCAGTTTGGTTGTCGTATACATACTTTACGTTCCGATAATGCTCGAAAATATGAATCTGATCCTTTTTCAGGTTATCTTAGTAAAACTGGTATTATTCATTAGACTTCTTGTGCTTACACCTCTCCACAAAATGGTGTTGCTGAACGCAAGAACTGTCATTTATTGGAAGTCACCCGTGCCCTGTTATTCCAGATGAATATTCCCCAATATTATTGGAGTGATGTTGTTCTTACTGCTTGTCATCTTATTAATCGTATGCTCTCCTCTGTGTTAAATGGACAAAGTCCTTATTCTGTTCTTTTTCCTAGTAAGCCCTTATTTTCTCTGACTCCTAAGATTTTTGGTTGTGTCTGTTATGTTCACAATTTGGGTCCTGAATTTGACAAACTTGACCCNTTCTCTCACTATTACTCGACCGGATATTTCATATGCAGTCAGTTCATGGGATGTCCTAGAGTACCACATTGAGAGGTAGTTACTCGTATTCTGCGATATCTCAAACGATCTCTTGGACTTGGACTGCTATATCGAACTAATGGACATCTTAGAGTGAAAGGTTTCTCGGACGCTGATTGGGCTGACTCTCCTTCTGATCGGAGATCAACCACTTGTTATTGTACTTTCNCTTAGTTACTCCCTCACGTAGAAGGGGTATCGTTGCTACAGTCATTCTCTGCACCGATACTTTATTAGTGCGGATGTCACATTTGAAGAATATGTTCCATACTTTCTAGCACCTTCTCAGCCTCTGAATTTAGAATTTGGATCCTCTCCTGTATCACCATCCCTTTCCTTATCTTCAGATATTCCGCCACCCACTGTGTTACCATCTACTTTACCTCTCCGTGTCTACTCTCGCCGTCCTCGCCCATCGACTGAAGTGCCCGTACCGTCTTCCTTGCTACCTTCGGATCCTGGAACTTCAGGTAATTTAGATTTTTTACCTATTGCTCTTCGCAAAGGTACTCGCTCGTGTGTTACTAATCATCTAATTTCTCATTTTGTTTCATATGATGCCTTGTCTCCTGTATTCTCTTATTTTACTTCTCAATTATCTGCTATATCTATTTCTAAGCATTTACAGGATGTATTATCTAATCCGGGTTGGAGGAAAGCTATGAAAGAGGAGATGACTGTTTTACATCATAATGAAACTTGGGATCTCGTTCCTTTACCCTCTGGTAAACGAACTGTTGGCTGTCGTTGGGTGTATACTGTTAAATTTCACCCTGATAGTTCTGTGGAGCGTCTCAAAGCCCGACTTGTTGCAAAGGGTTTTACTTAGACTTATGGTGTTGATTATGAGGAGACTTTTTCTCCAATTGCCAAAATTTCTTCTGTTCGTATCTTGATTTCTCTTGCTGCTAATCTTGATTGACCCTTGTTTCACTTCGACGTCAAGAATGCCTTCTTACATGGTGATTTGGTTGAAGAGGTCTACATGTAGCAGCCACCTGGGTTTACTGCTCAAGGGGAGTATGGTAAGAGTGTATGTCAGTTAAAAAAATCTTTGAATAGTTTGAAGCAGTCACCGAGGGTATGATTTGGTAAGTTTTCAAATGCAATTTTAGAGTTTGGTGTTCTTCGGTGTCAGACAGATCATTCTGTGTTTCATAGGCAGACAGATGCTAGGTATGTTCTATTGGTGGTTTATGTAGATGATATTGTGATTACTGGAAATCATTCTGAGGAGATTGCCAAGTTAAAAATATTCTTACAGGATCGATTTTATACTAAAGATTTGGAAAANCGGAAATGATTCTGAGGAGATTGCAAAGTTAAAAATATTCTTACAGGATCAATTTTATACTAAAGATTTGGAAAACTCAGGTATTTTTTGGGTATTGAAGTGGCTCGATCTAAACAGGGTATTTGTTTATCTCAGAGAAAATATGAACTTGACATGCTTGAGGAAGCAGGTTTGTTGGGTGGTAGATTGATTGATGTGCCTATGGATCCGAATCAAAAATTATTGATGGATGAAGGTGCATTGTTTGAGAATCCGGGTCGATATCGCAAATTAGTTGGGAAGCTTAATTCTCTCACTATTACTCGACCAGATATTTCATATGCAGTCAGTTCATGGGATGTCCTAGAGTACCACATTGAGAGGTAGTTACTCGTATTCTGCGATATCTTAAACGATCTCTTGGACTTAGACTGCTATATCGAGCTAATGGACATCTTAGAGTGAAAGGTTTCTCGGATGCTGATTGGGCTGACTCTCCTTCTGATCGGAGATCAACCACTTGTTATTGTACTTTCTTAGGAGGTAATATTGTCTCATGAAAAAGTAAGAAACAACCAGTGGTAGCAAGATCCAGTGCTAAGGCTGAGTATAGGGCAATGGTACATACGACGAATGAGTTGACTTGGCTACTACACTTCCTCCAAGAAATTGGGTTTCTAGTTCAACTTCCTTTACAGTTGTTCTGTGACAACCAGACAACTATCCATATCGCTGTCAATCCTTGTGTTTCATGAGAGAACCAAGCATATTGAGGTTGATTGTCACTTTATTCGGGACAAGATAGTAGCTGGGGAGATTACAACTCCATTTGTGAAATCTGAAGATTAGCTTGCAGATATGTTTACCAAAGCATTGAATCGTATGCATCTTACAGCTATTTGTTTCAAGTTTGAATTATATGATATATATAGTCCAGCTTGAGAGGGAGTGTTAAGAATAATAGGGTAGTATGTGTAAATTGTTAATAGTAAGAGGGTGTATGTGTAATTCGTATTACTGTAGATTAACTATAAATACAAGTGATGTATGAGAGGTAGGTTAAGTTTTAACCTCTCTCTGTTTCTTTCTAATATTGTGTTAATCTTCCACAATTAACAACATGGATGACCGTGATATGGATGTTCCAAGATAACACACGGAGGACATCATAAACAACTTATGAATGAAATGCTGATGAATATGTATTAAATTTCAATACTTGTTCATGAAACTGCCATATGGGCCCTACTGGTTAATTCACATTCATGCACCTACATGAGATATACACGAAAAGGAGAGCATCTCCCCAAACCATGCTGATGTTAAAACTGCTTGATTAAAATAAAGCTTCTAGAAAATAGCAGAGTACTAAACTTACTCCCAAACATTCCATCATCTGGTAGTAAGCCCTACCATGCAAAGGGGTATGACCTTGCCGAGATTCCGAAAAATAACGAGTCCTGAAATAATATTGCGGGGATCCTTGATCACATACATGAATTACAACTGCTAGATTTTCTCAATTAACTTTTCTTTTTCTTTTTTATTCTCACATACCATTCTTTATAACCTGGATCTACTGTAAATCCATACATGTCGACAGTGTCGCAAAGGGAGAGAGCAAATTCAAGAGCCTTAAGTCCAGTTCCTTTTGCTGCTGAACCAAAGGATGCGCCCAACATGAGGTACACAGGATTAAGTATTGGAACTTCCTACAAAAGACAAACCCATCTATCTAATTTTTGGAATATGTTGCTTAGGAGAACCACTCACTTGGAGGAAATAAGCAATAGTTCACGGAAGTTAGTGCAAAATGATCTACACACCCGAATCATTTTGTTCATGATGTCATGTATTGTTGTTTTGACGATCAAGACCTCTTTCCCAGAATCTGTAGAATTAAAATCTTTAGCATGCTGCTTATACATTTTTGAACAGAAAAAAGTGGGATGTTGCTGTTACCATATAACTCTGCAACTTTATCAAGAGCTTTGGCAGAGCCTCTGTTAAGAAGGCGAAATGTACTTTTCGTCCCCACGTATTCTGTGTAATTCTGCAATGGAATACAAATAAGGGATAACAGTATAAATAATTGAGAAGACAATGGAAATATAAGCATAGGACCTGAAACTAACCTGGATAGGTGCTCCATTTTCNGTTGATTTGGGTTACTTAATTCAGGTTAATTTTTTGAAGTATATATTTGATTTTTTTAAATATAGATATAATTTTTTCAAGTGATTTGAAATGAAAGACGAGACGCATATAAAGAGAAAGGGAGTGAGAGAAGGAAAAAGTGACAAGTGATAAGGGAGGTTAAGAGTCTGAGATGATTTAGACGAGTGATTATTGAGAGAGGAAGGACTGACAAATGAGAGAAGGATTTGAGAGTGATGGAGACGTGAGGTGAAGACTTGAAGTAAAATGAAAATTTTGACTTTAAAGAGTGAAAATAAAGACTAATTCTAGTTAAATATATTTATATATATTCCGGTTCAACCCGATTTAATAATCGGGTTCAACCCGATTTAATATTCGGGTTGAACCATACAACCTAAGGCTTGTCCAAATTCAATTCGATTTAAAATTTTTTTTGTCCAGGGCCAATCCAAGTATTAAAAATTCTATTCCAAGCCTTGTTTTTTTTTTTGATTNTACCTGAGCAATTCAGCTCACTAGATAACAAATCGGATGCAGCTTAAAGGGATATAACAAACAAGCAAGTAATTTAAGAGGGCTTCCAATCAAATTGAAGCAGTCTAGCTGAGAGGCAAAAGAGAAAAGTTATGCTTCTAACATACATGTGCTCATTCAGTGAGACAGCAACAAGAAGTATCATATACAAATGGTCTTAAATAGTAACTATGATGCAGAAATATTAGCACAAAATAGCATATAATAATAAAAGAAACGCACAAATTCAAAAGAGGGGCCTAACCTGCTCCCATGTAGCTACAGCTTCACACAAATTGAATTGAAATGTCAAGCCTTCTAGTTCTCCTGTTTTTGGGTCTTTCTGTTTAGGTGTTGATTCCACACTAAAAACAAGTCAGAGGGCAGAATAGGATATTGAACTGTGATATTTTGAAGTATGACATATATATAGATAAGTGAACTTGGATTTCCTAAGATTCTGACAAACAAGACAAATGTCTGGTTTAAAATATCTCATGATGCTGTCACTAGTTAGGAAGAAGTGATTCCTTCATTGACAGACATAATCATGATTGACGACATAAGATATTTAAATCTTGACGAGGGATGGAAAACCTACCCATTTGGGCACAGTGTCACTGGGAAACTTGAGCGTAACTTCACAATAATCTCTGCCACTTACAGCTTGCAAACCTAGTCCATTTGCACTCTGCATCATATACAGAAGTGAATCCATCAAATCATTGTTAGACAAGTACAAATTTAACAGAATATAATTGGCAAGGCACAATGCTTTCACCAGTGAATAGTCTAAAGTTCAAGCATATACACAAAGGGGTAACCCAACAAAAGCAATGCTGCCAATGCACTAAGATGACTACCGAGAAAATGCAACAAATAATTTTCATATATTTTATTAACCAGGAGAAAATTCTGATTGGTGACTGTCTCATCATTTTAGCAAACAAGAAAGCCAAGGGTAGAAGAGTGATCCTCCTTCGGAAAGTCAGATTCAGGATTAACTTAATCGAGCAGAAGACTAGCTACAAGTTTAAACTTTCAAGCGAAGGATGAATATTTGAAAAATCAAAACATATGCATTCAAAACATCATCCATTAGTACCTTGGACCATTTGTTGTCCTCTTTACTGTTTTCACAGTTGTGGAGAGTATCAGTACCACCTTCTCACCATCTTTCATGTCAAAATGAGGGATATTTTGTTAGACGTTGTTTACAGCTCTTGAAATCTACAATTTTTTCCAATAAGGCCAGTGATCGTAATATAAGCAGTTGAAAGACGTTACTTTTCAGTCAAGCACTGAGAAATATAAGATTCTAAATTTTATACTCCATTTGATATCCCTACCAAGATCAGAACATCGAGAGATAGTTTCCCCTTGCTCTGAGTAAAACAACAACATTTGTTACCGCCCGTAATAGAACACACACACACAATCCTCTGTTTCACCTNCAAGTACAAATTTAACAGAATATAATTGGCAAGGCACAATGCTTTCACCAGTGAATAGTCTAAAGTTCAAGCATATACACAAAGGGGTAACCCAACAAAAGCAATGCTGCCAATGCACTAAGATGACTACCGAGAAAATGCAACAAATAATTTTCATATATTTTATTAACCAGGAGAAAATTCTGATTGGTGACTGTCTCATCATTTTAGCAAACAAGAAAGCCAAGGGTAGAAGAGTGATCCTCCTTCGGAAAGTCAGATTCAGGATTAACTTAATCGAGCAGAAGACTAGCTACAAGTTTAAACTTTCAAGCGAAGGATGAATATTTGAAAAATCAAAACATATGCATTCAAAACATCATCCATTAGTACCTTGGACCATTTGTTGTCCTCTTTACTGTTTTCACAGTTGTGGAGAGTATCAGTACCACCTTCTCACCATCTTTCATGTCAAAATGAGGGATATTTTGTTAGACGTTGTTTACAGCTCTTGAAATCTACAATTTTTTCCAATAAGGCCAGTGATCGTAATATAAGCAGTTGAAAGACGTTACTTTTCAGTCAAGCACTGAGAAATATAAGATTCTAAATTTTATACTCCATTTGATATCCCTACCAAGATCAGAACATCGAGAGATAGTTTCCCCTTGCTCTGAGTAAAACAACAACATTTGTTACCGCCCGTAATAGAACACACACACACAATCCTCTGTTTCACCTGTGGCAATATTGGCTGTAATTTTTGCATCATTTCTGTTTTTGAAAAGGAGAAACAAGTTTCTTTTTCCTTAATTTTCTCTTCACAATTCACCACAATAAGGCGAAATAGATTTACATATGATCACTCCAACACTCAGAAATTTATCCACCATTTCATAGCCATTCTCGCCGGGAAAATTAGTGAAAACATCATCAATATAAAACCTAATAACAATAAAATCACAAAAATAACTAAACATGGAATCAATAGTATAGAGCATAACTGAACATCACAACAATTCAATAATTTAGAAACCTAAACTCACCACACACTTTTGAAAACCACTCTGCAGAGATTGCAGCGCTTCCAAATCTTCGTCCGAAAGATGTAACGTTCCATCTGTACAAGAGTTCATCAAATCCATCGAAAATGAATCCTACACACGCTCGCATATATATATATATATATATATATATNATCTCAGAGAAAATATGAACTTGACATGCTTGAGGAAGCAGGTTTGTTGGGTGGTAGATTGATTGATGTGCCTATGGATCCGAATCAAAAATTATTGATGGATGAAGGTGCATTGTTTGAGAATCCGGGTCGATATCGCAAATTAGTTGGGAAGCTTAATTCTCTCACTATTACTCGACCGGATATTTCATATGCAGTCAGTTCATGGGATGTCCTAGAGTACCACATTGAGAGGTAGTTACTCGTATTCTGCGATATCTCAAACGATCTCTTGGACTTGGACTGCTATATCGAACTAATGGACATCTTAGAGTGAAAGGTTTCTCGGACGCTGATTGGGCTGACTCTCCTTCTGATCGGAGATCAACCACTTGTTATTGTACTTTCTTAGGAGGTAATATTGTCTCATGAAAAAGTAAGAAACAACCAGTGGTAGCAAGATCCATTGCTAAGGCTAAGTATAGGGCAATGGTACATACGACGAATGAGTTGACTTGGCTACTACACTTCCTCCAAGAAATTGGGTTTCTAGTTCAACTTCCTTTACAGTTGTTCTGTGACAACCAGACAACTATCCATATTGCTGTCAATCCTGTGTTTCATGAGAGAACCAAGCATATTGAGGTTGATTGTCACTTTATTCGGGACAAGATAATAGCTGGGGAGATTACAACTCTATTTGTGAAATCTGAAGATCAGCTTGCAGATATGTTTACCAAAGCATTGAGTCGTATACATCTTACAGCTATTTGTTTCAAGTTTGGATTATATGATATATATAGTCCAGCTTGGGAGGGAGTGTTAAGAATAATAGGGTAGTATGTGTAAATTGTTAATAGTAAGAGAGTGTACGTGTAATTCGTATTACTGTAGATTAACTATAAATACAAGTGATGTATGAGAGCTAGGTTAAGTTTTAACCTCTCTCTGTTTCTTTCTAATATTGTGTTAATCTTCCACAATTAACATGGATGACCGTGATATGGATGTTCCAAGATAACACACGGAGGACATCATAAACAACTTATGAATGAAATGCTAATGAATATGTATTAAATTTCAATACTTGTTCATGAAACTGCCATATGGGCCCTACTGGTTAATTCACATTCATGCACCTACATGAGATATACACGAAAAGGAGAGCATCTCCCCAAACCATGCTGATGTTAAAACTGCTTGATTAAAATAAAGCTTCTAGAAAATAGCAGAGTACTAAACTTACTCCCAAACATTCCATCATCTGGTAGTAAGCCCTACCATGCAAAGGGGTATGACCTTGCCGAGATTCCGAAAAATAACGAGTCCTGAAATAATATTGCGGGGATCCTTGATCACATACATGAATTACAACTGCTAGATTTTCTCAATTAACTTTTCTTTTTCTTTTTTATTCTCACATACCATTCTTTATAACCTGGATCTACTGTAAATCCATACATGTCGACAGTGTCGCAAAGGGAGAGAGCAAATTCAAGAGCCTTAAGTCCAGTTCCTTTTGCTGCTGAACCAAAGGATGCGCCCAACATGAGGTACACAGGATTAAGTATTGGAACTTCCTACAAAAGACAAACCCATCTATCTAATTTTTGGAATATGTTGCTTAGGAGAACCACTCACTTGGAGGAAATAAGCAATAGTTCACGGAAGTTAGTGCAAAATGATCTACACACCCGAATCATTTTGTTCATGATGTCATGTATTGTTGTTTTGACGATCAAGACCTCTTTCCCAGAATCTGTAGAATTAAAATCTTTAGCATGCTGCTTATACATTGAAATTGAACAGAAAAAAGTGGGATGTTGCTGTTACCATATAACTCTGCAACTTTATCAAGAGCTTTGGCAGAGCCTCTGTTAAGAAGGCGAAATGTACTTTTCGTCCCCACGTATTCTGTGTAATTCTGCAATGGAATACAAATAAGGGATAACAGTATAAATAATTGAGAAGACAATGGAAATATAAGCATAGGACCTGAAACTAACCTGGATAGGTGCTCCATTTTCCCTGATGACAGCATCATAACTATCTATCGCCTTCCCAAACCTTGTTTTTAAAAGATCTCCCGAGTTTCCAATAACAGCACAGCGGCCAAACTGCCGTGGAAAATGTGGTGGTCTTTCTGGGAGTACCAGAGAAAGTTTTTCCATGCAAAGTGTCTTATTGTTACAGTGGTTCCTGCAAGGAAAATGTGACACATCAGACTGCATATGGCAGCAGAAACTAGAGCACTCAGCAGCTTTTTACAATTGATTGGGCTCATTGACATCATATAGCAATCGTAGACAAATTCACCAAACTTCTTTATGACTTGCAAGCAAGGTACATTTTCAGACCACTCGCGATTACTATAGTTACCTGATATAGAGTGGAATGCTTAAACATTTGGACGTCAGAACTAAAATGATTAGGGTGGCAATAATTCACATTTATTATAACATAAAAGTACATATACAATTCTCCAATAATATTTAAAGTTTCTATGATGGTTTTAGAAAAATCTAAAAAAATATTTGAAGATAAATATGCTATGCGTAGGCATTTGTGATCATGATAGCAATATTTGCCATCTTTTGGTCATCCATATGTGCATTAAATGGAAATTTATTCAACGGTAGTCACACATAGAGTACTTACAGAAGTACTCCTTTATTGATCCTCCGCCAGGCATAGTCCTCCCAACCATTTGGTAAAGCTTCAATGAACTCTCTAGTGAGTATTGTAGTACTATTCCGCACCTGAGCAATTCAGCTCACTAGATAACAAATCGGTTGCAGCTTAAAGGGATATAACAAACAAGCAAGTAATATAAGAGGGCTTCCAATCAAATTGAAGCAGTCTAGCTGAGAGGCAAAAGAGAAAAGTTATGCTTCTAACATACATGTGCTCATTCAGTGAGACAGCAACAAGAAGTATCATATACAAATGGTCTTAAATAGTAACTATGATGCAGAAATATTAGCACAAAATAGCATATAATAATAAAAGAAACGCACAAATTCAAAAGAGGGGCCTAACCTGCTCCCATGTAGCTACAGCTTCACACAAATTGAATTGAAATGTCAAGCCTTCTAGTTCTCCTGTTTTTGGGTCTTTCTGTTTAGGTGTTGATTCCACACTAAAAACAAGTCAGAGGGCAGAATAGGATATTGAACTGTGATATTTTGAAGTATGACATATATATAGATAAGTGAACTTGGATTTCCTAAGATTCTGACAAACAAGACAAATGTCTGGTTTAAAATATCTCATGATGCTGTCACTAGTTAGGAAGAAGTGATTCCTTCATTGACAGACATAATCATGATTGACGACATAAGATATTTAAATCTTGACGAGGGATGGAAAACCTACCCATTTGGGCACAGTGTCACTGGGAAACTTGAGCGTAACTTCACAATAATCTCTGCCACTTACAGCTTGCAAACCTAGTCCATTTGCACTCTGCATCATATACAGAAGTGAATCCATCAAATCATTGTTAGACAAGTACAAATTTAACAGAATATAATTGGCAAGGCACAATGCTTTCACCAGTGAATAGTCTAAAGTTCAAGCATATACACAAAGGGGTAACCCAACAAAAGCAATGCTGCCAATGCACTAAGATGACTACCGAGAAAATGCAACAAATAATTTTCATATATTTTATTAACCAGGAGAAAATTCTGATTGGTGACTGTCTCATCATTTTAGCAAACAAGAAAGCCAAGGGTAGAAGAGTGATCCTCCTTCGGAAAGTCAGATTCAGGATTAACTTAATCGAGCAGAAGACTAGCTACAAGTTTAAACTTTCAAGCGAAGGATGAATATTTGAAAAATCAAAACATATGCATTCAAAACATCATCCATTAGTACCTTGGACCATTTGTTGTCCTCTTTACTGTTTTCACAGTTGTGGAGAGTATCAGTACCACCTTCTCACCATCTTTCATGTCAAAATGAGGGATATTTTGTTAGACGTTGTTTACAGCTCTTGAAATCTACAATTTTTTCCAATAAGGCCAGTGATCGTAATATAAGCAGTTGAAAGACGTTACTTTTCAGTCAAACACTGAGAAATATAAGATTCTAAATTTTATACTCCATTTGATATCCCTACCAAGATCAGAACATTGAGAGATAGTTTCCCCTTGCTCTGAGTAAAACAACAACATTTGTTACCGCCCGTAATAGAACACACACACACAATCCTCTGTTTCAGCTGTGGCAATATTGGCTGTAATTTTTGCATCATTTCTGTTTTTGAAAAGGAGAAACAAGTTTCTTTTTCCTTAATTTTCTCTTCACAATTCACCACAATAAGGCGAAATAGATTTACATATGATCACTCCAACACTCAGAAATTTATCCACCATTTCATAGCCATTCTCGCCGGGAAAATTAGTGAAAACATCATCAATATAAAACCTAATAACAATAAAATCACAAAAATAACTAAACATGGAATCAATAGTATAGAGCATAACTGAACATCACAACAATTCAATAATTTAGAAACCTAAACTCACCACACACTTTTGAAAACCACTCTGCAGAGATTGCAGCGCTTCCAAATCTTCGTCCGAAAGATGTAACGTTCCATCTGTACAAGAGTTCATCAAATCCATCGAAAATGAATCCTACACACGCTCGCATATATATATATATATATATATATATA